GGGGGGGGGGGGAGGTGGGTGGATTCCGTCTGTGCGTCGCACTCGTGATCGGATGTTGATAATCGCCGGGCGGCGCCAGTTTTAGGACGACCGAGAGATCACGAGTTCGCAGTGAGGATCGCGATTTTGTGACCGGTGACGCTGTGCCCGGGAAGAATCTCATCTCGGCGAGACCGTACGTACATTGGAAAGAGAGTCTGGTGCACTGAGAAAAATACCGTCCGGTCACATCAGATCGGATAATCGGAATAATCGGAAAAGATAACGGATATATCCGATCGAGCGTGACTGGCCCGATCAAGTCGTGTTTTGATCCGATGAAAATGACAACGGATGTGCGAAAAGGACGGCTAACTTTCCGATCGGGTTTCATCGGCAACTTCGTCGGATAATGGGGTGTATCCATCGCTTGATCGGATAGCAAAAATAACGATCGGATGCATCGTTTGATCGGTTTACCCGGATGGACATTTTTCTTCGTGTAACGATTACCAAACGTTTAGCGAAATAGTTTCGACCAGGTGATTTGGTTGCTGTAACTGTTTGGTAATTGTTGTGTCGAATTCCTTTTTCCAGCGTAACACACGGATACTCGCGGGGACGTAACGCGAGAACGCGAGGTCGGTCAACGTGTACAGCGGTTCAGTGAGAGAGAGAGAGAGAGAGAGAGACTGCGATGCGTTGTTCATCGACGATATCCGTGGCGGTGAAAGCTATAAGGATGTGTATAATAAAGTCCGCTTCCGGTACTCCCGCGAAGTAGAAGTCCGAGAGGAGAGGGGATCTCGCGCGCGCATCTCCGTCGAGGGGGAGAAACATCTCACGAGAGGGAAAGGAGAGAATAATCCCCCCGGGCGAGAGAGAGAGAGAGAGCAATAATGCAGTGGCAAACGACAAACCTATGCGCCACCGCGTATAAGCATCCCGCGATTATGCAGCTGCGGATGAACAGTAACGAATTTCATTCGTGGTTTCATTCTAGGAAACCGTCCATGGACGACGTCGGAAATCCTACCTCCGTCAACGCACGGTGAGTACTCTCTCGATCTCTCTCTCTCTCTCTCTTTCTCTCTCTCTCTTTCTCTCTCTCTCTCTCCAGATCCCCGATTCGTATTCTACGGGATCTCACGCGACTTCATTTATTTCGCCCATCGACATCCTGTTGTCGATATGACGACTCAGAGATAAATCCAATTTACGCGCATTCAGAATACAAGCTCCTTCTACCCTGTTCGCGTACCCGGGACGCGCACGTGATATGTAAAAATGTGGCGCGTGAGAGGTGTAATTTTCCGAATAATAATTTCGCTCAACGTCGATGCGAGCTCGACGCGACGAATCGCGGACTCGCGTGTCGTCGAACGAGACCGCGTGCTCCGTCGGCACGGACTTTGCGACTTTACGACTTTCCCCCCACGAATCGCCGTAACCGTAAGCATGAGACATTAAATTTAGACTGAAGAAGTAATTGGAGTATTGCTTTAGATTTATATAGAAAATTATCTAGAAGGGATGGAAGGGGGAGGAAGAGGTGACGGTGTAACTAGGATTCCAACTACTCGAATCCTAGTTACTTCTGCTTACGATCAGATTAACCGTCAGAAAGAGAGGGAAGGAGAGAAAGAGAGAGAATTCTATTTTCTTCTGAAGTACACGAATCTAAAGCAACATCCTGATTGGCTCTTCAGTCTAAATTTACATCTTATGCACGGAGAGAACAAATTTTGTCGGGACAGCAAATGTTTGTCATTATGGTAAAACAAAATTTGTTAAGACAGCAAAAAAATTTGTTCTACTCATAACAAATCTTTTTGCTGTCGAAACAAATCTTGAGGTCTTTTTCTCGGAGATTACGTTACATATTATCGCTTGATGCAAAAGCCCGAAAGCTCTCATCTCACCTATTGTTGATCCGGACTTGCGAACGCGGAAGATTCTCGCGAACGTTTCTACGGGCGATTACAATTTCGACGGTGTTACAAGCGCTCGTAAGATTCGTTAATACCGACACCACCGGCCCCGGTAGTTGGAGGGAGCGATTTCCTAGGTAAAAACCTTCCCGGGCAAATCTTATCGACTACGAGATATCTACCCTCCGGCCTCTATCGAGAGCGGCCTATCTGCCGCCGTAACAATTGAACCCGTAATAGAATCACATTTATTCTTATTACCGGGCGAGGTCAACCGACCGGCGAAACTTCGAAGTCTCTTCTCTCTCCCTCTTTTCCTCTTCTTCTTTCTCTCTCTCTCTCTCTCTCTCTCTCGCTCGCTCCCTTTTCGCTACCATCCGACTTTCGGATCGGCTCTCTTGAGCCATTCCACGACCTGCGTTATTTTTCCCCCGAGCTCTCCATCGTTTTCTCGCCATCCTGCCGCGTTTCATGGTCCTTTTGTTTATCCCTGCGGTTTCGACGTGATCCTGATGTGCGTGCGCGCGCGCGCGCGCGCGCGAGATAGTCGTTGTCCCGAGTGGAGGAGGAATCGCTCGGCGACTCGTGTTCCCGTAATAATGCGCGTCGCGCAGAAAATAAATTCGGTCCGAAAGTGGCGTAAAAACGGGGAAAAGGAAAGGGGGGGGGGGAACTCGCACGTACCCCGCGCGCTCATACTCCGCGCGCGAGATAAGCGGCAACGGCGGCGAGAGATGTAATCGGCGCCGCAGTTTCGTTAGCCGGCGATTCAACTTATTTAATATGTACAACCCGTGACTCACCACCCACCTACGTCGCGCGTTCAACGGTGAAGAATCTGCCATTTCGTATCTCGCCCTCCATCTCTCGTGATGTACCTTGGAAGTTGAGCTGCAAGGCCATCAAAGTCTTTAGCCGGGTTATGGAGATGCCGCTTCCGAGATAAATCGGCGTGGTTTTTAGCATAAAAATTCCACCGACTGGACTTCGCGAGCGTACCCTGTCCGTCCGTCCGTCCACTCGAGAGCGCTCTTTACCATTCTCCTCCCTCTCTCAATCTCTCTCTCTCTTTTTCTCTCTTCGCGTTAGATACCGTATTAACCCCGCAGGGTGGAACAATGAGTCTTCAGTACTCGACCGATTTGTCTCTTGGAAGTTTCCTCCTCGATCTGTGTTTCCTCCTTTTTTTACAAATAAACTATACTATATATTATTATATCATCCAACTTTAGCCACATATGTTTGTTCTACAAGCTTGGAAATATGTTCATGAATTTTCGCGGATTTCTCGAGCCATTGTAAGTAGTTGAAACAACCGTCGAATATCAGAGTTATTGTATCAAGAAGAGGTGATTTTTTTCACACTGCGCCGTAAGGGTTGGAAATAATGAATACCAGAAGCGACTCACCGTGCGTCTCGGGACGTGCGAACGCGGAAACGTCTCGAAAGACCGGGATCGAGACGATAATCGAATTATCATCATCGCCGAGGCGAAAGTGCGATGATAAGGGACGGTGGGCGTTGCACGAGGTGCCGATCGTCGTCGGAATAACCGATGCCGCTGCTCCTCCGGGCGACGCAACCTCGCGAGACGCGCCTCCTCTCTCGAGGCCACCGCGCGGCGAGAGAAATTTCGCGAGGACGCGCCCGGCCACTCACGATTAAACCCTTTACGTACGTATTCACCGGTTACCGGCCTCGTCCGACGTGCGACGATGTGCGCTTCCTTTCCCGCGGAACCCCTCGAATCCGGCGAAGCGACGAGCGAAATATCATCGACGGCGCCGCGATTTCGTCTATCGCGGGAAGAGTTCGATGAGCGGTCGAGCCTGTCGCGCGAGTCGCGCGACCGTTAGCGGTGACTCCTTCGGTACCACCATTAATATTAATGCATTCCACCGTTCTCGACGTATTGTACTCGCGTCGACGACGACGACGACGTCGACGCGGCCCGCGTCCAACAATATCGCTCTCGCGTTTCTGTAAGCGACACACTCTCTCTTTCTCTTTTCTGTTTCTCTCCCTATCTCTTTTTCTCTATCTCTCTCTCTCTCTCTCTCTCTCTTTCTCTCTCTCTCGCTCGGAGACCGGCTCGCGGTCTCAGAACGGTTTTGTCCGGTCCGGGCTGAATATTCAAGCCGGCCGATAAATAAAACCTCAAAGGAGGAAAGCGAAACAACGACGCGCTGCATCTCTTCCCTGTCCCCCGTCCGCATCCCCCGCGGCCTCTCGCGCGTTCACTTTTCTTACGCCGTCGGGGCTCCGTCCCTCCGGAGGAGGGACCTCCGTGGAGAGTCGCATTGTCGCACGATTTCCTCCCGTCTTACGAAACGGGCGCGACAATGCGCGTCTCTCTCTCTCTCTCTCTCTCTCTCCGCTCTGTACCTCTGTGCTCCGTTGTGCACCGATGCAGCGTTATGCACCGGAATCCGCCGCTCTTGTTTCGGTGTCGCGCGCAGCAGGAAGGGGAGCCATTAACACTCGATCTCGCGATTTAAGAGAGAGAGAGAGAGAGAGAGAGAGAGAAAGTTATTCCTCGCTATTTTCATTTTCCACGCATGTTCCAATTTGATCGCGTTGAGCGCGCGCGCGCGCCTCGACTTTCACGTCCGCCGAAACGGTAATCGCGTGTGCGATTTGACGGGTGTGACTTTAATTCGCGTTTAATTCGAGAGTCGAAACAACAAGCGCGCGCCGCACGTTGCGTACCGTGCACGAACGAAAAGGACGCATTGCGTTTTCCCGAGTCGACGTTTTATTCCTGGTTCAGGTCTAATTCAGTTCGATATTAAGTGCCTAAAAGTCTTCCGTCGTGCTCCTTTGCTGTTGCAAGTGGGAAAGTTATTGTCGTTTCCTCCATTCGAAGACTTAACGCAGAACTTAACATTTCGACTCGGTTTCGCTCGTTCATTTCGACGATACCCGAGTCGAAATTTTAATCCTACTTTAGGTCTAATTCAGTTCTACGTTAAGTGTTCAAGAGTCCCCCATTGTGCCTTCTCTGCTGCCAGAAGTGGGGAAGTTATCGGCGTTTTCCCCACTCAAGGATTAGAATTAAAATCTAAACTCCGGAGGACCGAATTGCTTTTGTAGTGTTAAAACGAGCGCTTGTTGCGCTCCTTTGATGCCACAAGTGTGAACTCATTTCCGTTCTCTCCGCTTGAAGGCTCGAACGTAGAATTTCAAATTTCGACTCGGCCGTAAACACGCATGGCGTCCCTCGTGAATATGGTGCATAACAGGCCAAGATTTAGAGGTGAGAGACGCGCCCGGGAGTCGTAAGTATAGCCACAGGGTGCCTCCTTTTCCCCCCCCCGCCCCTCTCCCGATACAAAGGAAGGATTACGCGGATATTTGGATGCGTTATCTATCATCGTGAATTATCACGACCCGTGTGTTCCGAACGTTGCTGAAGACTTATTATGCGCAGTGATTTAATAGTCAGAGAGCCCCCCTCTCCCCCCTCTCTCCCACCTGCCCAGCGGAAAGTCGCGTGACGCACATGTCGGCTCGTCCGACGTCGAAGGATGTATTTTCAAGCGTATTTCGCGGCGATCGACCGACGTTATGCACACGCGCAAGCAACGCTACACACACGCACACAGTGGCGGGAGTCGTAGCGAGATGCGCACGTAATCCCAAACAGTCTCTCTCTCTCTCTCTCTCTCTCTCGGTTCTTCCGGTCTGCGGCGGGACGGATTCATCGAACGGCATGCATCCGCGCGCGCGACGACGGAACAGGTTGGTCGAGTTTTAAGCAGTCCGAAGACGTATCGCAAATTAGAAGAACGTGCGTCCGCCGGCTGCGGGGCGACCGCGGGGGTACACGTGGCGCCTGCAGACGCGCAACGTCGAATTTCTGCACGTGGCCCGCGCGGAATCCCTAATAAGTCTCAGCGCGCGCGCGGCTAGACAGAAGTCTCGCGTACGTATCTCGCATGCAGGTTGCCCGCGGTGTGGAGATGGAGCGACGTCACGGATACGTGGGATTCCTCTCGAGCAGCTGGATCACGTGCAGCGGCGGAACGTGAGACTAACTTAAATGCGAATCAGGAACTGTGCGAAGCCGCATCGCGCCGCACGGACGCGAACGAGCGCTCGCTCGCCCCCCGATTTCAATTGTTTTTCCCCCGCGCCGCGATTTGCTCTCCTCGTCACTCCGTCTGATCCACTCGGCCGTAACGCCCGTCCGCCGAGAGATCGAACGGTATCCGCCGGGATGCTGCGCGTCGTCGTGATCGCCGAGGACGACGAGGAAGCGGATTTCTCGCCAAGGCCTGCGATTTACGCAAGTGTGTCTCCCGATATACCCTGGCCTGTCGTTGGGGAATAAGTTTCGTCGGATTTACCTGACTCCGGACGAACGTTCGGGTCGGGGAAAGCCGGAACTTCCGGTTGAAAGAATCGAATTTGGCTCGGAATTCGAAACTTTGCTCGTACATTGCCAGGTGGATTCGAGCGCACTGAGAAACGCGTGTGGTTGGACGTGTCTGACGGGGGAACGAGATTTGCAGTTCTCATGAATCTAGTTTGATTGTTATAGCGAGAAATCGTGTCTCCTTCGACCGAGATGCGTTCGGTTGACGGGCAGATAAACTCTTTTTTTGTCAGTTTGGGAATTTTTACTCGTCGTCAGCGAGCCTCTCTGCAATACGTCACTTTAATTCCGGTCGTTTAGATTCCAATTAAAAGTCGCTGTTAACAAAATATAGCGTATCATCGATCGCTCTATGACTTATTATTTAGGGACGTTATGAATATAGATTGACTCTTATTGAAAGACACGAGGAGAAACCAATGAAATATTTCAGAAAGGGAATAAGCACATCAAGTGTTCGTGATGGTAAAAAGAAGCAAAAAAATAAGGTGACTATTCCCGGGTTAAAGGAAGCAGAATTTTCCGTCCTCACGAACCAAATTCGGTTTTTGCGGCTAAAAATTCCGTTGTTTTCAATTAAACTGCGTTTGCTTAACCATTGTCAGACAGACCCGATCAAACTCAGTCTTCAGTCTATGCAACATCGATTTCGTCGCGAGCTCTTCCTAATCCCTGCAGCGCCGAGTAAATTGTTGGCGTTTTCACGCACGGTGCATATTTCGTGTATATCTTACAAAACGGCACTTATGTTTACCATGTGGATCGCATCGTGTCGCGTCGTAAGGCCGCCGCCTCGGCCGAGATATCCGCGAGATATCGAGCCCGATGTCATCGTACCCCTTTCTTACCGGCGGATTTGGAACGGAATACCGCGCGAGATCGGGATGCTGTCGACGAAAAATCTCTTAACAGCAAAACCCAGAAAGTAACAATAGGTATTTTCATTAGTCGAGTGGTTCGGTCCAATGGTAGATATTTGATTCGCTTTTTACCGCCACTGCCCCGCATTCCGGTCCGGCGTAGCCGCTTCGTCGAACGGGATCGGAAAAACGTCCCGCAAAGCTCCCGGGCCTCTCTTCACGAGCGTGTAACGTCGGAAGAAATCCCGTTTTAGAAGTAAATAGCATTGTGAATATATACTACGAATGGCGCTTTATTTATTCCGGAATTTCTCTCTCTCTCTCCGCACGTGCGGCCGCGCGCGAAACAAGAACTCTCGAAAATCGTCGTTGTTCGTCTCACCGATCGAAATATTGTTTTCAAGGTCTCCCTACCGTGATCAGGGCGGGATCAGAAAAAGGAGGAGCGAAAAGGCGGGGAAACAAAAACCATCGAGATTCTCCATCGGGCTTTATCCCTCTCTCTCTCTCTCTCTCGCCTGAGCTGTTTCGCGATGCACTTTGGATTTGCCTTTGTGTAACAACTAAAACGGCCCGCGTATCTTATCTAATCTCAATATAATTGCGTGCGCACGTCATATAAAATAGCTTATTATACTATAGAAAAGTTGATTCCGGGGACCATAATGCGGGGTTTGGAAATTAGCTCTTGCCCGTCCGCCGCCTATCTACAATGGTGATGATTATGTCTACTTATAGGTATAACTACCTACGTGCGCCAAACTACCCGTCTACCGTCCGAAATCATCTTCGCGGTCTCCTGCCTTCGTCGTCGTTCCTCCTCCCCCCCTCCCCTCCCCCCTCCTCTTCTCGCCCGATGAGCTTGTCGAAACTAGTTTATGAAACGAGTTCGGAACCAATGACCTCTCTTCGTCTCCTCCGCGTAGTTGTACGTAGGTGTTACCACGGCGGTGTATAGTGACGAAGCTTGTTTATGTGTTACAGATTTGAGGAGAGACACTACGCTTTCGAAAGGTAACGCTCACCACTTTACTCAAAATGCATGCCGCTTTTCGTTTATATAAATACCCCCGCAGTCTTCCTCCCTTTCTCTTACTTACGCGCGTGAGTTGCCGGCTCTCCGTGTCTCGACCTTCCCGTGAAAAAAAAGTGAATACGTAGCGAATAATGTAGCTTAATAAGTAGCGAACTGAAAATCTGCTGGATATTTGCCGACTGAAATGTTCGACCGTTGCAACCGAATAATTTATTCCGTATATCAAATATACGCGGTATATACTGAGAGAGAAATATAGCTATTTTTTTGGGGGGGGGGGGGTAACAATATCCTTCTTTTTCATTTTAATCGCAAAGATAAGTTAAAGCAACACGCACGTAAGGGTTATCGTCATTAATGTTATATAGTAACGTTTGCTGGAAGAACAGTTGTCCCGATGATCTTTGTGGTTAAAATGAAACGACGGGACGTTGGTGCGCGCGCGAAATATAGATAATTTCCACTACGCTTCCAAGCGCAGCGCACAATCGGCACAATTCTCTTTCTCTCTCTCTTGCGGCTCTGCATAATACATACGCCGTTAATGTCTCGTACGCGCCCTGTAATAAGGGACTTTCCCGTGGCGGGCGACGGAATAAAACGTCGGCCGGGTGACGAGACGCGATTATGTAAAAAAAAAAAGAAGAGGAACTCTAGAGCGCGCCGAATTGCAAAGCAGAGAGTCGGGTTTTCGGCGCCTGTCGAATGCCAGCGCCTAACGCATTCTCGTTGTATTATAATAAGCGCGCGCGCGCGCCGCCCGGCTTTTGTTTCACGAATGATTGCCGAGTGGTGGGCCTCCTCGTTCTCGCCTTGTGCGGATCGTACAGGAGGAGATCTCTCTCCCCGAAGAGAGCGGGGCTTTTATCGTGGCTAGGAGGAAGGCTGAGCCGTCGACGACGACGATCATTCGCGCCTTTGAAGCCCGTCGGGGACCCTCCGGCGTGCCGCGTGCCGAACTCGACTTCGCGCGTCGTCATCGATACGGTTGATCCCGACATATTGCTCCTTTTAATCGCCATCACGTCGATTACACCGACGACCGCCGTCCCGTTCGCCCGCTGACAGCTTCCTTATTACGACGGAAAATAGGAATGCTACTTACTACGGGGGCGTCCTGTAAAAAAGAGAGAGAGAGAAAGAGGGAGGGGGAGGTACGCGAGCGATATAGAGTTCAACGCTCGATTCAGCTCGGCACAATTCCGCCGAGCGTCGTCCCCGCGCGAGACCGTCTTAAAAGGCGCTTTAAATCGGCGTGTCGTGAAAGAATCCCATAGAGATGCGGCGTATAAAGGCATTCCACCAACCCTACCCCTCCTCTTCCTCCTCCTCTTCCTCCCTTTTTTTTTCCTCTCTCATCAAGGTTCGGCGTATCGATCTATCCCGGTTCGGGAGTATTTCTCGCGCCGGCGGTGTCTCATCGCATCGCTCCGCGGTATTATTCGTTCCCGAATTATTTATATATATCACCTTCCTTCCTCCCTCCCTCCCTACTTTCTTCACTGTATGATGAGCGATCTTAACGATGCGACTCCCGATATCGACGATGTGATTTACATCTTGCGTTTCGATTTCCTTCGCTCGACCGGCGCAACACCCGCTTGCGGCTCTTCCTTCTTTCTCTTCTTGTTTTCTCTCGCTTTCTTCCTCTCTCTCTCTCTCTCTCTCACTCTCTATCTCTTATTTTTGTAGAAATTCGCTATTCCATCGGGCATATTCAACGTATCGCGCGAAACGTTAATAATAAAAGCGAGACATATATTCGGGGATTCCCGCGACAAGTACGGAGCTCCTACTCATTTATTCCATAAATCTGACGATAAATAACCGACATATTGGGGTACGCTCGCGTGGCTCCCGGGTCCTGCGGCTGCTTATCGTATCCCACAAATGCGCCGGAACGCATTTAAAATGTATTGAACTGTCACGGGGCGGTGGTTTCCTGGATTTTTACATTTTTCATCGGCGCCCAGGCTGCAGGCCCGCGCGGATTAGTAAGTTATTGTTGTTCTAAGTGTGCCGGTCAAAGGGAGTGAACCCTCCCCCCGAGAGCTCCGTCGAGAGAGAAAGTAATCCTGACCATAACGGCTGGCACCCCACAAAATTTCTCTCTCTCTCTCTCTCTCTCTTTCCTCGTTGCTGACGCGTTGAAGTTCGTTGAACTTCGCAGTCTGTTTCGACAATTTCCTTCTAGTCTCCCTCGACTATAGTCGAAGACTATCAGTGAAAAATGTTATGTAACAAGGACGGAGATACGGTAACCTATAGCAGATCTTTGTCGGGACATCCTCTTTTGCACCCTCTAATAGTAAAGTGGGGTCAAATTGACCCCACGGTTTCGTTTATCTTACAGCGTACACACGTTGTTTTCTTAAGGATTGGTGCATGTTATTATTTACTTCTTTTATCCGTTTTGTACATTGATTACGTTATGAGAAATGAACAGAGCGTGGGGTCGGTCATCCAATCCCCACTTTCCTGGATACGTTGAAAATCTACCTTGTCATTAGAGAGTTAAAGTAATAAAAACAATTCGGACACGGACACAATTGACAAAGGCGAAACGCGGGCACGTTTTACGCGGTCGAGATATCACGGGATTTATATATTCGATCGTTACACAGGCCATATGGGAATATAGGCCAATTTGGTGTTAGAAAAGAGCCGATACGTTGCGGTGAAGCCGACAGATATCGACCTTCGATTTTGCACCTCATTTTCATACATACACGTTTGCGTGGCGTTTATAGCGGCGTTTCCTCTCCTCTCTTCCAGGGAAACTTTTAATACACGCGTCCCATGTTGCTTTCCTATCATCATCGACAGGTCGAAGAGAGTTCACGGGTTTAAAAACGAGAAAGATATCCTCCACGTGGGAATTTAAGTCCCACTTATTTTTCAGACGCGCTGAAAAACCCCGAGTCCGAAAAGTTCTTCGCGCCTACTTTCTGCGGCAATACGAAAGAAGTGCGCGATCGTTGACACTCTGCGAATATTTATCCCGCTTGATTTCCCGCGGAAATAAAACAGGGATTTAAGCACGACACGATCGAGCGGGGTAAATAAAGACCGAGAGAGAGAGAGAGAGAGAGACGGGAGAGCGAGGACCCGTCGCGAGATTCTTACTTCTGGATTAAACTCGTGACATTAATGGGCGCGGCAGGACAATTCACCCCAATTAATCCCGACGTGCGAGGGTGGGAGGGAGAGGGCGAATCTTATACCGGGATCAACTAAGACCGGGTTTCGAGCTAATCTGCATCGGCAGATTGCCCTGAGAATTGACACCGAGAATTTTGTCTCACCCTTCGAAGTGGTAACATTTGACGTCTCATCTCGAATCAAACCCTCGACCATCGCGTCCTTATATATAGCTTCCACCCCGCGCGCCTTTTGCCACAAGACACAAACTCGATGCATATATTACGTCGCCTTAATTGGAAAGCGTTCCCCGAGCAACTTGAAACAACGTGACTACGACGACGACGTCGTCTTCTTCTCCCTCCCCTTTCTCCCTTCTCCTCTCTCTCTCTCTCTCTCTCTTTCAACGTATCATATCATATCGCCGTGCGCGTTTTTACATATGACTCGATTTATGACCAAAGCGCGTTGATTAACGTTTGTTCGTTTCCACTTGAAATTTCGTCGTTGCTTTCACGCGTCTCGTACGGAACCGCCGTGTCTGAAATCTAGGCTACACGTTCCTTTCGCGCCGTCGAGACTCGACCAGCTTCCGTTACCGGGGAAAATCGAGTAACGACCTTTCTCTCGCGCAAGCGTTGTTCTCTCTCTCTCTCTCTCTCTCTCTCTCTCTCGATAGAACATATTAAGCGGATTGTAAAACATAATTTTGTTGCCGCGCATTGACTCGCTCCGTCGCTGATAATAAGACAACCGCGCGAAACCCGTAATTATAGTCGGTGAGATAGCGCGAGGATACTCTCTCCCTTTCTTTCTCTCTTTTTCTCATTCTCGAGTCTCGGCGGTATAAAAGTACGCCGCTATAGAATTGTAAATATATGGAAATGCTTTCCCGAGCTTTTGAGCGGTGCAACAAGAGGACTCGCGCGCGCCTCTTAAATTACGTATTTAAGACGCGCGAGAAGGAGCCGCGCCGTGAACGCCGTTCCGAATCGACGTGAGACACCGTAACGGTGCAGACTGCATTTTTGCCCCGTATTTACTCGTCAAAGGATGATACTTCGTCTTTGGGCGCGTCCGTACGTCGTCTCCCAACGTCGCGACGTAAGGCGTAGAACGCGATTTCGATAGTGGAATAGAAGCGCCGGAGCGAAAACATCATCCCCCTTTCATCCGATCCAATGCCGTCCAGGCATTCCAAACGTTTCGTTTAATTAGCACCCTGCGTTTTCTCGCAGCTCGTAAAAAGGCAGGAACCGGCCGAATGTGCACGTGGGCCTACCCACGGTACTTCTGTAGGGGGATAAAAAATTTCCGGCCGTTTCACGGTAATTAAAGATGTTGCAATAAAGTGAAAGAGGTTCTTTCCTTTAATTCGCGCGGTGTCTTACATTCGCCGAAATTCGCCGTTAATCTTGCAAATTCCGCCGTGCTCGAATGGAAAATCCCGAGGTGTAACAATGTATATTTATGTCTGTTGCTTCTTAATTTTATATATGGTTACTTATTATTGTTGCTGTTATCTCTGTGCCGAGACGACAAGGAAGAATTATTCCAGGATTGTTTGATATTCGATTAATATCTCAATATTCACCTTGCATTTGATCTACAATCCCTGGCCATATTATTGTAGACGCAATTTGATTTTTGCCCGATTGGAGTAAGTTTCGGTGTCAATCAATGTTTTCACCTCTGCAGCAACAGAGTAAATGAAGCAACAAACTTTTCTTTCATAATTTGTTTATTACTATTTTCTTTTTCATCAGTATTAGGAAATTTCAATAGGATTTGGCGATTCGAAAGGGGTAAGAAAGAAAAAGTTTCAAATTTTGCCAAC